GGGGGGGGGGCGTCGCCTAACGTCGTTATAAGAGAGGCACCACCTACGAATGTTGGGAAGCCACTCACTGGGTTGTGGAGAGACATGCAAAGTACAAAGGTTTGAAAATTACGGCAGGGAAGGAAAGAGAAATGCAAATGAGAGAGTCTCCAGACATTACAAATTCATTCGGGTAAGGATAAGACTTTAAGGAAGCTTGGATATTTACGCGGTGAAGTTCGAAAGAGACGGTATGAACGGAGATGGATGAGGAGGAGGTGGAGAGGTAGAGAATGAGTAAGGGGCAAAAGAGGAGGGGCGACACAGACAAAGATGGAGAGAGAAAGATGAGAGATAAAAGAGAGAAAGATAGAGCGAGAAGGGGAGAGAAGGAGACATAAAAAGAAAGGGGGGAGAGAGAGAGAGGAAGAGAGAGAAGAGAGAGAGGGGGGGGATAAGGAGAGAAGAAAGAGAGAATGAGACGGAGAAGAAAAGACAGCGTTAAGGAGGTACATCGGGTAGAACGCGAAGGACACCCGATTGTGTTCCTGGGAAGAGCAATATTGCTACTCGTCTATGCTAAGTATCCGGGCCCTTGTCTCTGACCTTTTCAGGCCTGCGTGAGTAGAGAAATGGGAGAAGGTCAGAGAAAGAAGCGCTCGCAGCCGGCCTCCCAACACCTGCACGATGGACATAGTCTGACGGAACCGAGGAACGGGGTGAGTCATTTCAGGGAATGGAAAGGGGTGGGAGAGTGAGGGAGGGAGAGTAAGAGAGGGAGTGGGAGAGAGAGAAGGCGAGAGAGCAAGAGAGAGAGAGAGAGAGAGAGAGAGAGAGAGAGAGAGAGAGAGAGAGAGAGAGAGAGGGAGAGATAGAGCTGTGGTCTGAGTGTAGGAAAGAATGGAACAAAACGGAGAGACCTAAAGACAACACACAGACCCCTCAAGGCTAGTTCGTCCGTCAACATTTGACGACGACGAATGCATTCGTACACGAGACTACTTATTAAATCGAAATAGAAGAATTCGTGTTTAAAATGGTGGGTGGCTGGCGGGTGCTCTGGTGTGGTTTGCTCCTTCTTACCTATCAAACATCTATCGTCCTGATCTCTACTCCTTTTTATGTGTGTGTTACTCTTGTAACAGCTCTAATCTTCGGCACTTTATGACCTTATTGTGTTGCAAGTGCCGTAAAACTCTTAATAAAACTAGAAGTTAAGATGAATTGTGACTTCTTTCTATTACTAGCCAATGAGACCAATTCGGCAGAGAAAGTATGCCACATTTTGAGTTTTGAGCATTTAAAAGCTTTACTTCTACTTGTGGATGTGAGTAACTTGCGGGTATCTCTCTTGGTTTCAGCATATCTATTATTCGTGAAGCCTCATGTGACTTGCTGCCCACAGTGACTGCTGCTCTCCAGCTGGGTCTGTCAGGAGCCAGGTTCTCCCATGTCCGCAGGATTTATTTTGAAGTCCTTCAGAGACATTTTCATGGGATCTTAGTAGCACTTTTTTCCGAGCGCTAACTTTATGCCTCCCTCGGGGGTTAGGTAGGGGGAGGGAAAACGGCATGCAGTCAGATAAACAAATAGCTAGATAAACAAACAGACAGAGAACCACAGATTTAGAT